CAATTACAACATAATTGGCTGTGCCACAACGCAGACCATACTAAGCCCTGATCCACGTGCCTTCCTAACCGCGGCAAAGGCACCCTATCCCATGACTAACAGACGCCCAGACGGGTCGCACCATCGCCAACATTATCGTTATCATCATCATCTAGGAACCTAACAGCTTATTTCCGCCAAAGCCACAAACTTTCTCTGGACGCGTCCGACACCATCTCACCAGATCACGGCTCCAGTACGAGAGCCATACGTCCCACGCCAACTCCAATGGTACCGACTTCGCTCACACAGAGAATCTACCACGCATGCGATGGATGACTCAAGATAGCTCCGCATCTGAACGATCCATAACATACCAACACCTGCTCCGAGAGGCTATCCGCCTCCCACTATGTGCGGATTTAACCCAAGTACGGATCACCGAGCATCGAAATCTGTTAGTCGATTCTCTCACCCACCGTTCTCGACACGGATTTAGTACGCTCTTCGACAACCTTAGGCAGTCAGTTTCCACCTACTTGGAAGCCATCCGAACGGCGCAACCGCAATGAAAACGTTCAGAACAGCAAACAACGAGGTAGACTTCAGTTCGGTCACATCCAACGTCTTTACTATCTTATGCGTCGGGACGTAGCGGCAGCGGTGCTTGATAGCAGATGCTGGACCTCTTATCTACAAGAAGAGGAATGAATGTTGGATATATTGGAATATTGGATAGGAGTATTCTAACAGCCAATCGTGCCTGACCATTGATCCCCATGCGTGATTATCCCGCCCAAAGTAGAGTTTGTTGAACCCATCTCCGTACCTAACTTTTGCTCATCGCTACGCCAGATGGATGGCACAGCGCCTGGCGTCGACCGCATCACACCGAAAGACGTTGAACGCATAGATCCCCACTTCGTTACATCTTTTCTGAACTGCGTTCTTGCCTCTTACCCATACTCCTCTCATCTTATTGTGGCTAGAGTTGCCATCATCCCGTCTCCCGCGCTTTCCGAACATTTCCGCCCCATATTTGTGGCCTCCGTTTTCACCCGCCTTTTGCATCTCTCTGAGCGCTGAATTTTCTTTTTTCCATTCGATCGCCTACAATTCGGTTTTCTGAGGAAAGACGTTTTGTGACCCATCTATTCTTCATCCCATGCTTCGCTCCTCTCACTCCCACTGCTCCCCCTTCTCTTTCGCCTCTGTGGACATTTCAAAGGCCTTTGATTCCATCTCCCTAACTTTTTTTATTGACTACCTGTCTTCCTGCTGTTTCTTGGCGATCTCAACGTTCCTGGAGGTTCGAATTCACCCGGAGCGAGACATTATATAAGGGGACCCACTTTCACCCCTTGTTTTCATCATGATCATCTTAGCGGAAAACGAAGATGCACAACAGGAACGATTCCTAACTTTTAGCAACGACCTCCAGATTATTAGCCTTTCCATAAACCAGATGAAAGCCAAGGCTGTAAATATCGTTATCGATAGATCCAGGCAGAAAGTGTTACTAGACACTTCTGGTCTTCAAGTAGGATCAATGAATCTTTCATCAGTCCAATCGACGAATTCACTTAAGTGCATGGATTTACTTTTTGACTGGCACGGCAAGCTACTGCCTCACTCCCTAGATGAACTGCATCAGCAATTCCAGGAAACTTCGCAAGCACCATTAAACCCACACCAAGGGATTGCAATTCTCAGGACCTTCCTCATCCCACAACACATCAACAGCTTCTCGCTTGCAGTAATACATCGATACACATTAAATATGGATCAGGGCTAACGTTCGCAAATGGTTAAGATTACCCAATGGATACAGCCGTTGCCTTTTTCCATGCATCCATCATTGATCTCGGTTTAGGCATTCATAGTCAACCATGTTGTCATTACTTCGGAAAGATCGATTGGAATGACACCTTTCCTACCCGGATGCCATCCTGAGCTGGGCCATTCGTGACCCCTCTGGCTCTGCGAGATATCGGCTAGCTAATCCGCCACACATCGTAGGTGAGCAAACTGTGACGGCTAAAGCCACAGCAAAGGAGGGATGGAAGACTCAGTTACTTACTATCCTTGACGCTTCCCCTCTACGTCAAAGTTTTCATGCATCCAGTTGCTCATCGATGGCTCCGACACGCGTCTTTTCGCGCCTATTTATCAGCGCAATTCTATTACGCGAAGACGTCCTGACTGCAAAAGTCAGACGCGCCAGAAGCAGACCACCGCGTTGCCCATCCGATCTCAATTGCTGCGCATCATGTGGGCAACACGAATCAATCTCTCGCGTGCTCCAAACTTGCAGCGTAACTCATGATGCATGCTGCAAACGGCACAATGAAATTGCCAACCAAGTTGCAACGATTCTACGCCGTGGATGAGCTGCAGTCATCCCAGAACCGCGCATCCCCACGCAAACGACTTACATCAAACCAGATCTATTCATCTGCCTAGACGCTACTCTCTTCGTGATGGATATTGCACACCGGATGGCTCAATCTTTCCAAAACAACATTTATAAATACGGCGTCGGTGGTCACGCAACGGTCACCAGAAACTATGCACAAACTGCAATCTCCTTTGTTGTACACTATCCGCTCATCTTAAACAATAGTGTATATTTCCACCCCGCGTCAGCAAAACACCTGCTGTCATTGGGACTTCGACCTTGGGTATTTCCCATCTGTGCATTTCTACCATCCGAGGAACAATACGTGTGGATGTTTATATGCGAGGTGCAGTCTACCAAAAGCAATCACTATAACAACACAAACACTGACACGTCCTGGGTGTACGGCCCTTGACCGAGCTCCCCGAGCTCTTATTGATCCATTTGCTTACTATTAAGTCGTGGCATTCGTTCCACCTCGGCAAATTGCTGTACTGCTCATTTTTCGAGCCACGACGTGCCTTTGTCGGAAATAAATGTTCGTCGATTAACCACTTCTTAGCCCACCGGTTCGGTTACTCTTGAGACAAAAAGGAAGAAACAAAGATTGACTCCGACGAAACCACAATACATTTTGATTTATTAAGATTGTGTTTTAACTAGTTGCCATCATGTAAGAGCTCATCTAATATATTCGAAATACCATGCAAGTGTAAATAAATTTTATACTATACTACTGGCTACGGGAAAATGAGTTACGCTAAATTTTTGTGAAGGACTTTTATAAGCTGGCTACTTCACTATGTTGACCACTTTGGTTCAGTCCCTTGCGTGGTCAGCTTATGGTTTTACCGTATAAGTTAACCACGTTCCTGATACCGCAGGATTAACCGTTATGCGAGCGAGCGCGATGATGTCTTCAAACTTGATAAAAGTGCTCCAGATCGACTAACCATCGTGCACGGACATGGATCATCTATAGCGGTTGGCAGTATGGTCAAATCGAGCTTGTCTTCTGATGAACACTAGATAGAAGTGAAAAATACACCAGTCAAATTATTGCAGTTTACTGGGCCTTGGAGTGACGGATGCCGGAGTAATACTGAATACACCACCAGCCACACAACCGGGCCATGTCGAAGATAGTCTCTGTCTGTTTATGTGAATGTACCCGTAGCTTGCACCCAGAACGTCAGCACACATCATATTTACTCCGTCTTTCCATTTCTTCTGGTTCTTCGGTAGTTCATAAGACGACTAATTTTGATCCGTACTCTATTAACTGTAGTGTTGGAAAATGACACATTTCGCATTCGATGATTGACTGGCGCAAAAATAGCGTCGATAGATTCTCATTACTGATTAAACTGTAGTTATTGTAACCATTCTGATTGGTACACGAATGCTCCACCTGGTCCGTGAATCCGTCGCCTCTATGGTTCTTTGCGCTGCGCTTGTCATGGTAATTGTTCGCACTGAGGGTTGACGAAACAGCACCACTTCGGCGCACGAAAGACTCTTCTTCCTTTCCCTAAAGACGTGATCACAGAACCTTGAGGATGAAACCACTGCTTCCTCTCACATTCTGTTGTAGCCGACCACTACTTGATAAAGGATATGCAAGGCTCCTAGAGCCTTCATGAACGTGAATAGTGGAGGGAGCAGCCATCGCTTACATTCATGTTCCCATAGGGTCTAATACTGGCATACATGTTTTCGTTCTGCAACAGCATCTTGCTAATATTTTCACATGTGGGCGCGTACCTATTTTTTTCGTACTGTTACTCTTTTTCGTGCATCTTTTTTCACGTCCCTTTAACTTTGACTGCTTCTTTTTATGCTTACATTGAATGCACACCAGGTTACATTTTTTCTATCCTCATTAGCATCGTAGCTTTTCGGTCAGCTTATGGACAAATTCGGATATGTCCCGCTTCCGATCCACCTAGTTTTCAACTAGTTCTCTTTTAGTCTGCACCGATCTCCACTCCAAACACTTGTTGTCTAACTGCAAACTTGCAACACTTTTCCCGTCTTCATTTTCTAGATTGACACGGCAGATAAACTTCTTTCTCATCTAGGTCCTTTCATTATTGGAAGTTTGTCTATCGATCTTTTGCCCCTGTTCAAGGCGGCTTTTTTATTTCCGGTCTCCGGAGATGTTACACGGATACCCCAGCCTTGCACGGCTTCAGCTAATTAAGTTAATTTTGCGCCCATATGACATGAACTCGTTTCGCTGAAGCAAAACATGCTATCTAAAACAGACAGTATTCCTTCGTCTTTATTGAAGTATGTACTTTCCTCATTGGATGCTAGTCTATCCACCCCGCTCAGGACTAGTTAGGACACTGAACATGCGTTTTCAAATTAGGCTCAACCATCCTCCTTATCTTCACTCGAATAATCGAAGCATTAACTTTGTTTCGATTAAGAAACTTCTTACAGGCATCGTTCTGCGGTTGCCCAGTGATCTCCGTGTAAACCGGATCAATGTGGGCCAAAATGGCTTTCACCTTCGAGTTTGTCGTTCGTGCCAGCTTGGGGTGCTACCTATTGTTAAATGACGTACCAGGGAAATTTGTTTCTATTCTTGAGTTCCCACTGCGACTGCTAGAGCCAGCGGAAATTGTTCGGGAAGCCGTCTCCTGAATTGGTGTACTTCAGAGTTACCTTGCATCGCCTTTCCTTTTCGGTATTGCGAACAAAATGCCGATAATTAGCCCTGTTCTCTCAGCCTCTTCTGGACTGGAAGTTCCTCCACGTGATCAACAGACAAACCTTATCTACAAACGCAATTTTATTGAGATCAACGGCTGTGCAACCCGCTAATGTGCGTAACGCTGCTCCTTTGAAGTGCGAAGCGCTGTTACATAACCAATACGATACACCACAGGTTCTTGCTGTAACAGAACAACAACCAGCAGCGGTTAACCAGTTCGCTTACCTTGGCAGTTGTGCCACTTTTGATCGGCACCTCGTTATGGAAGGCTCTTCGCGCACCAACGAAGCCCGTGTGGCTTTCCAGCCTCTATCTGTGGAGATTAGGAGACATCGGCCTACTTGTTAAAAGTAGGATATATCATGATACGGTTCGGCCAGTGCAACTTCATAGATAACATAGTCGCTTTAGTTAACTGACTGCCTTTTATCGCCGGTGTTCGTGCAGTATTGCTCCTAGCTGGTGGGAGAACCATTTGAGTCATATTGAACTCCGCCAGTTATTGTCTCATCAGACTGTCTGCTGGACTTGAACCACTTACGTTGGTTGGGCCATTTCTCCCTCCCCGGCATACAAGACATGCTGTCACTGTACTTAGTTAAACGATACCGCGCACTTTCAAGTCAGTGATGTGGCACAGAGGCATGATTAATTTCCCTGAGAGATTTGGTCGGAGTGGTACGCGCTGTCTTCGAAGATGGTATCTCGGAATGGACCTTGTCGGACATGATGCAGTCGGCTTCTCACTGGCGCTCTTACATTCTCCTTCTCACACCTAATTGTTATTTCTCCTTTCCGATAAATTTCACTCACCTTCCCTCAACGCTGTTTTCTCCATTGTTCTGCTTGCACTTTATCTCATGTTTCTCAGCGTTGCGAGTTTCTTCAGGCCTCATCGAGTTTCTGTTTTGTGAACAGATTGCGACACGCAGTCTCAATCTGGAGTGCTTTTAATGGTGCACTGAATTTCTAACGTTTCGATCGCTAGGATTGTAACTGAAATACAGCTTAAGTTCATTGGTCGTTTCCATACTCACCCTGCAAACGCTAGACGTGCAACTGGTCCACCGTTTTTCGGTGCTCAGATCATAGTTGTTTGACGGAATTACTCTCCTGCTCATGTAGCGTAATCAGTCTACTTGTGTTCTATCCTAGATAATGCAGTTTTTGAACTTTGTTTACTCACTTACAGCGCTGGTCAACCATTGTCATCCTCATCTACTCGGACATGTTTGCTACTCGCTGATTGTGGTGCTTGAACGATTAGCTGATAATTTAGTTCCAAACCTTGTGGATGTTAGCGGACCTTATTACGAGGCACTACAGCTTAGGTGCATTGTTCGGTGAATCTCTCATAGATGGCTGTGTAATGGTCACTCTTGCTCGTTCCACCTACTATATATGCCAATTTATTACACGTCTTCTCTCAGCAAGCCACTCACACCATTGCGCGAGGTTTTGGCAGGTGCTGGGGCTGGAACATGTCAGATCATCGTGACCACTCCGATGGAGCTGTTGAAGATTCAACTGCAAGATGCTGGGCGCACCGCTTCTGGTAAGTCGTTTCCTTGTTACATCCACTAGGCTTAATTCTGTTTCCTTTGTATGTGTGTCGCTATCCCATCTTTTCTATCTCGTCTCGTTCTCATTGTGTACCATCTGGTCGATACGATGGACGCTCCACGAGGAGTTTACTGGTCGTTTTCCCAAATGGTCATTCGAGTTCAGTCCACATAGTCAGCCGCACTTCGTACCGCCAGAAAAGTAAGAGAAAAGTAGCGATAAATGGTTCGAAACAGAGAATATTACTCAACCAACTTAATCTGAAGTAAGATTAAACGAGAAGGTCAATAGGAACAGACATTGTCTTTCTTTTGTGTCATACGGGACAATGTTTAACCATTGAGGTGGCCCAAACCGAAGGGTGGACCTCAACTTGTGCGACCATGCGCATACTCTCCCAATCTCCGAATCATACTGGATTTCTCCTTTGCTGTTTTTTTACAAACATTCCTATCAGATTGGTTAGTGACAAGAGTTTGTGAAAATTCTATCTCCTGGTTCTCTATGGCGAGGTGAACGCTAAGGCTGCATTGGTTTATGCAAAATAGATTCTTTTTCAAAGTATTAACGTATTCCCTAGACGTTGCAGTTATGGTAGCGTGTTCAAAGTTTTTTCCCTTGAGCACCACACTACTTGGACTGATCATGTGGTACAACATAATTTCAATGTGCAGATGTTACTTCATATTTTCCAGCACGGTCTCAAATCAGGTGTTCGTGGAATTCAATCGGTAGAAATGATAAAAAAGGAGAGTTTGAAAGTAAGATAAAAGTGAGTTCTGAGAGGTTTGGAAACAATCGGTTGGTATGGTAGTTTGGTAACGTTTCGCCATTGATACAAGAGCTTTGTCAGACCAGGTGAATCAGTGCAGGCAAGTGGTACAGTCTATCCAAAATCGACTTTACCTCCGAGGGTTTATGGCTTGCCAAAAGTTCGCAAATCCAAAGTCCCCGTACGGCCCATAGTCGACGGTATTGGCTCCCCTACCCATGAACTTGCTAGATATTTGGCAAAGCTATTGCAGACTCTAACAGGGCGAACGAGTACATTCGTGAGAAACTCTTATGACTTCGATCAAAAGATAGCAAGTCTCAAAATTGAGTCAGATGAGTTGATGGTCAGCTTCGATGTCACATCACTTTTCACAAATGTACCTAAAGAAGAGGCGCTAGGAATAGCAAGACGTTGTCTAAATGAAGACGTCACTTTGAATGATCGGACGAAGCTAACAGTTAACCAGATAATCGAGGGTATGACAGTGTGTTTTAGCATGTCTTACTTCGTTTTTCAGTCGAAGCTTTACAGTCAGGAACAAGGTCTCGCCATGGGATCGCCAATATCCCCTGTACTGGCGAACCTGTATATGGAAGACTTCGAGAACAGGGCGTTAACAAACACCATTAACTCACCAAAAGTTTGGTGGCGTTATGTAGACGACACCTTTGTACTTGTTAAACGGGATAAGAAGGACGAATTGCTTGATCACTTAAACTCCATTGATGAGAGAATACAGTTTACTATTGAGTTGGAATCTTGTAGCGGTACAATACCATTTCTTGACTGCCTGGTTCACAGGAATGGGGGAAATTTAAAGACGACAATATATCGCAAGCCAACGGATACTGACGGCGTACTCCACTACACTTCGGGTCATCCGAAACAGGTTTACGCTGGGATAGCCTCAGCGCTGTTCTACAGGGCACAAACCTTGTGCACGATGGAGGAGGACAAAAAGGCTGCGCGGAAAGTGGCAATGAGCAAACTATTAGAAAGTGGTTACCCACGGCGACTAGTCAAACGCCAATTGCATAAAGTGCTACACCGGCAGTCAAGACCCACAGCCGAGTGGATAGGGACGGTCGGAATTCCGTACAAGGAAGGCACTTCGGAGGCAATTCGGAGGGTACTAAACAAGGAAAATATAAGGGTGATCTTTCAGCGAGGTCGAACGTTACGTTCGGCGCTGGTACACCTGAAGGACCCCCTTCCCAAGGATAGGACGACTAACTGTGTTTATAAAATTAAATGTAAAGACTGTGCACATGTGTACATAGGCCAAACAGCGAGAGAATTACGCACACGAATTTCGGAGCACAGGAGGCGCATTTCAAGACCACCAAGAAACGAGTTTGAATACCAGGCAATAGTAAGAGACTCGGCCGTAGCTGTGCATGCATTAGACACGGGTCACCAGATAGACCTCGAAAACGTAGAGGTCATTAGGAAGGGTCGTACGATCAACACCTCAGCGGTTGATTGCCGAGGCGGTGGAAATTGCCAAATCTGACGACTGCGTGAATAGAATTGAGGGGTAGAACTCCCTAATGCGTGGCGGGCGGTCTTAAGCCGGCCAGCTTGACGAGCATCGGTGCGTGGATCAGATTGGAAAGTGCAAACCGACTCCCATTGTCAACACTATGGGCTTATCCGTCAATGTCATGACGCACAAAGGAACACCTGGACTATTCCCACTGTGATTAAACCACCTGAGGTGACATCACGAACGGTTGCTGTAATGACATCATGGCTCAAGTCTCGGGTAACCCGGTTATCGTCCCTGTTCGCTATAAAATCCCACCCCAATTGCACTGATTCACCTGGTCTGACGAAGCTCTTGTGTCAAGGGCGAAACGTTACCAAACTACTATACCAACCGATTGTTTCCAAACCTCTCTGAACTCATGACTACTCGATCGGTTCCAAGTATCTTCCAAGTAAGATGAAAGTGCTTATTAAGAAAAGTGCTATGGAGTTAACACGGCTATTAGTGGGACGGACTCCTGGGGACCTTCTTCCATGCGGAGTAGTTCTTCGAAACGTTTAATATGCACTTACACGTCACATTTGGTTTCGTGTCGATGTAGGCGTAACAGGAAACGAGCCATCACCATACTTGCTCATTTTTATGGTTTTATATAATGCTTTTATATATCGACTACTAAGCTCGCAGAAATAAGTGAGCTCTCTGTTTTCATTTTTTGTACTCTTTTAGGCTATTCGACCCATTTTTTTCCTGAGTTTCTCGAGTCTGACACCATTTCCACTCAACTAGTATGTGCCAATTTACACTGAGTAGGCATATTTTTTCTCATCAGTAGGTCTGTGACAATTCGCTTCACGTGATGTATTAAAGAATTCGGAAGCTTCATGCCGTCACCTCAGGAGATCGGCCCATTCGTCAACAATCGAAAAAATTATAGGTGGCGAAATATAAATAATGATGAATGCGTAGTATATACTCGATAAGTTCCGCTTCAGGTTGTACATGGGGATTACATAGAAAAAATTAAATTGGTAAGAAAAATGGCTCCACAAACGCTTTTTTAGCTAGATCCGGTGATTCCAGGCAATCGCGTTGTCGAATAATTGGTATGGAAAGTGGACTTCACAGAGTATCAAGAATTGCCACAGGTAGTCGAGTTTTTTTCGGGAAAGAAGCGATAACAGTTGACAATGCGCAGGAAATGTAAAGCGAGGAAGGAACATCGGTTTTGCATTCGGAACGCGAGATAATGTGATATCGGAGTGGGAATAAGCTTAATAGTTTAACTAAACGAGGAAGGTATTATTTAGACAGTTCGCAAGAATTGTCATGGCGTTCTCCAGTTTAAATATTCCAGTACTGCCATACAAACAGAAAATATTAGCTGGAAACTTCAATTTCCCGAAAATATCTTGGTCACCAAATCCATCTTCCTTAACCGATATGAATTTCATATCAACTGTCAAGGCTGGAGGATGGACACAATGGGTTACAGAACCTACTAGGTCCACTATCTTAATTGATTAAATACTTACATTAGGAATCGTCGACGCAAACATCGCTCTGCTGGACTGTCTCCCAGGTAGTGACCACAAAACATTACATTTTCAATATCAGATCAGATGCCAAACAGAACCTGCTCCCACAATATTCCATCCAGAGGATTGATTGGACAAACCTCCAACATTTGATCCCATCTGCCGACTGGGTGGGATACATTTTTCCTATCTACCAGTGTTTACTTAACAGTAGCACAGTTCTTTAATAACATCCCCTATGCCCTAACCCATCTTACTACCCAAAGTAAACATGTTTTCTACGGCACTAAGGATTCAAAAGAAGGTTTGCTCAGCTAGAAGAGGCGAAACTTGCTGGCAAGATTTCAGAAAACCGAACGCTTTTAAACAATCTTTCAACCGCACGATTTGACAACTATTATCAAACATGCACAAGTAATGAGACTCAAAAGTGAGGAGGAAAATACTCTACGATCAGGTAGCAAAACAAAGAAAGTGGTTGCTATTCTTCGTCATAGAACCGGCAACAGCACTTCTCCCTTCACGGGACTCTTGAGCATGGCAAATCTTTGAGTGATCCACTTGCTATTTGTGGGGCGTTTATCCCTTTGCTGCCTCCATGATTTGAATCTGATCCCATACCTGAATGCTCTCAATCCGCTACAACCGAAAGTCTAAGCAATGTCGAAATTTCTCTCAGCATTAACCAGCAGCTAATGAAAACCATCAAACCTCTCAGGTTGGACTCTGACGGCATCCCTTCAACTGCGAATAAAATGGTAGAGCCAGACTTAACATTACTTTTGTTGAACATGTTCACTTTATCGCTACAAACTAGCTAGTTCCCTGATCATGATCCCACGCCACAAAAGTGGTCCCAAGCAAAATGTGACCAACCATCGACCGATTCATCATACTCCCACCATCGCCATTCTGTTTGAAAGATGAGTCCAAGAAACGTTGATAGAGTCTCCTACTTCCCTGAACCTGTTTAACACATTTCAACATGATTTCCTTGGGAGAGATTCCTGCACGACCTGCCAGGTACACTATCTTACACTTCAGAGTCCATAGACCCCGGTTATGGAATAATGCTTTTGTTTTTGGACCTAGAAAAAGCATTTGAACGTGTGCCACACAAACGGTTGAAGCAAGTCAAATCCTTTGGAATCCAGAAGTCGCTTTTAAATTGGCTTTCATCTTACCTTAGCAATCGGTCTCAAATAGTCACTTAGGGTGATTACCACTCTTCTCATCGTCCAATAACCAGCGGCGTCATCCAAGAAACTGTACTGGGCCCTCTGCTTTTTCTCCTCCACATCAATGATATTGTCAGCTCCATCAAAAATGGCCGACTCTATTTGCAAATGATATCAAGACTGTTTACAATTTCCGGCGTGATGCTCTCCAGAACACACTACTTTCAATTCAAGCAGATCTTCACTCTCTTGAAGAATGGTCTGAGATATGGTTGATAAAATTCTCAACCGACAAATCAAACACTATCCCGATGGGTCAATTAAACAACAAAAGTATGTCCACACGGCAGTCTAATCGCGAGCTTGGAATTCGCTACTCTTTCAACTTCCGTTTTTCTGAACAAGCCCATTCCCAAATAGCTCGGACTAAGCAATCCGTGGCTAACATGTGCCACCAAATCCAAACAGTCCCTGCCAGATTGGACTTATTTAAAACTCACTCGTCCTATTCTCGAATACTGCAACTTCCTTATGGCAACAATCGGCAGTTACAGGAAATCTATAGCAAAGTTACATAGATCATTCACCAAATGTTTGTTCAATAGCACATCCACTCTAAACTATCGCGAACGTAGCAAACAGCTTCACATCGAGCCTCTCTGGCTGCGATGTCTAAAGCAAAACTTGATGCTCCTCCACAGTTTGTTTCACCAGAAGACGTACTCTTGCATAACTTAGAGATAAAACACAATAATCATCACAGACTCCGTAACAAAAAATTTACCCTGCGGATACCTAGTGCCACGTTTTTTCATCAGCTATGCCGTCCTCTGCAACTGCCTACCAGCTGCAATCAGGATATGCGAAAGCCTAAAATCGTTCCACTCCAAACTCGACAAAATCTGAGGTTTAGGCGTATTTTCATCCATGTTCTCCTCCGCTAAGTCACCTGATGACATATTCCGGGATGGTTCAAAAATATCTAAAGGGTTAAAATTGGTGACAACATGAACTCATGCAAGAGCATGAACATTTCTGTACATACTGATCTGTTCCTAATTTGGGAATAGTTTTTCACACTTTCGAGAAATATACCTATATACAATATCCCATTCTTTCTCCTAATTTATTTTGCAGGATTATGTGCCTCTATCAAATTCTTATCTAACCTTACTTCTTTCTTGGTGCATCAAATTCTCCATCATTTTGTTTTCAGTTTCTGTCAAAGCTGTCGAAGCTGACGGTCTGCTCACCTCTCGTCGGTTGTCTGCCACTCAGTTGGCCCTTCAATTGATTCGAGAACGAGGCATTTTTGGCTTATATCGCGGTATGGGCGCCACATTTCTTCGAGACGTTTCTTTCTCCATGATCTACTTCCCGCTGTTCGCCAACTTTAATGCTCTGGTACGTTTAGAATAAGGTAAACTACCACCAGTCCTTCTTGTGTCATCAGACCCATCAATACTAATTCCTGTTACAACACTCAACAACATTGAACTGGTAATTCTTATTATTTTTACATGTTTGTTGTGCGCTCGCGGTTCGTCATAAGGAAACACAACTATTAAGCCCAGAAGTTGGTGTGATAATCAGCATTCACATACAGTGTAGTGCAAATCTACATACCCGTACTCCAGTAGTAACCAAACCGTTCCGCTCCAAAGCTCGGTACATCCGTCCTACCGTATTGCGTCTAATAACATCATCGAAAGGCGCTATTCACGTTATTATCGTACTGTTTTCGTACTGCAGGCCTGATGAGTCACTTTACCTTCAGATCGCTGTATCTATACATAAATATAGCGCGTGACCATGTAATATTCTTGGTGTATTGAACTGATACCGCGCAGATACAGATTATCACTAAGTAAGAGAAGTCAAACAATTGTCAGCAGAATCAGTTGTTGAAGAATTCAAATGCGACAGAAGGTAGAAATCAGTTAAGCATTGAAGTCACAGTATTTACGCAGTTTAGTCACTGCAGCTAATCAGTTCAGTTCAGTGGAACAACTGTGATCCGAGCACCTAAGTGCGGTGGATCCAGTTGTTGCAACTGACATCACAAGAATACCAGTAAACAACAACAGCATGATAGTGTAGTTAAGCCAATTAGCATGTAAAGCAAATGGGAGCAAGAAGTACTGCATTAAATCAATCAGGTGAATTGACAACCAGACGCAAGAAACCGAATGCAGGAATGCCACTGACTGCGCCATGTCTGATACGGTCTCCAACCATTGGTGTGGACCATGTCGAGGCTCCTATCCAGCCTGGCCAAGTCTCAGTCCATTTCGCCATGCCTCTGCCACGTCATAGACTGACCACCTTCGCCCAACAGCACAACCATGGCGGATATTGTACGCCGAGAAAGGCTCTCAACGGGCATATTTACCTAAAGCAGGCGATTAAGTTTCAGTAAGCGCTCGAGTGAGGCTTCTTGCCAAAAACCAACTGGCCGACAACATTACTCACCCGATGCTCCCACCAGACATGACCAATAATACTCAAGCACCGGTGGTCAAACTCGGCCAAGCGATTAGCATCTTTGCCGCGAATTTACCAGGTTTCTGATGCATACACTAACACCGGCCTTATCCCCGCGTTATACAACCTACATTTCACTGACAGGTTAATATCTTGCAGTCTCCATAGGTGGTTAAGTTTCTGGAAAGCCACACGGACCCTGCTGATACGCGAAGTTACCATATCATTGATGTACCCACCAGAGATGACAGCTACCAAGGTAAGCAAGTAAGTGTTATATATATATATATATATATATATATATATATATATATATATATATATACAGTCGATTCCGGTTAATCGGACCACATCGGGACCAGACCATTTTGGTCCTATTAAGCGGCTGGTCCGATTAACCGAAGTTACCCGATGTAACAAGATGGGACGTGCTATACATAACATAGGAAACTACTATTATGACCTGTATTGGCGGCATATATTTATAGTAAACACACAAAAAAGAACTGCTTTGATAACGAACTTTATTCACTGAAAAAGAAATTTACAAACAAATTCTTCGTAACGACCTACAAGATATTCAGCATGCGAAGTACAGTTTTATACAAAGGGAGTACCGAATTCCATTCAGCGTTTGAAGACCGTATCCAGTGTGGTTTGACGCATTCTTTTAACAGACTGCATTCGCACAAAATCAACACAAACATGTAACGCAGTAATAGGACTACCTTCATTTCCTTCCTGCATGAAATAGCGGTGCAATGTTTCAATGCATTTCCTTGCATCCTGTTTTGTGACTGGCATCAACACGTTAGGGTTCTCTTCATCACTTCCATGGTCTTCTGTTGCTGTCGTGTGTTTCGCTGCTATTCGAGCAACAATGGCAGCATCGCATTCTCCAATTCCATCATAGAGTTGAAGTTCGTTGTCGATTGACAAAAATTCTTCGTAATTTTCAACTTGTTTCAGCTCCACATTCTCGCCGTCATTTTCATCTACAATCACCATATCCACATCCATCTCCGAGACAATATGCTTAAAGCCACAGTGAGAAAAACAGTTCCGAATTGTCGCACTGCTCATTTTTCGTCAACTTTCGGCCACGAATGTAACGGCTTGCAAAATGTTGACCTTTGCACCGATTTCTCCGGCTGTCGAGGATGAGGTCAGCAAGCCTTCCTCAATTGATTCAAGGATGTAATTCACCAACCTTGAACGATAAAAGGTCTTCAAATTTTTTATGATGCCCATGTCCATTGCCTGTATCAAAGATGTGGTCTTGGGAGGCAGAAATTCCATCTGCATATTCCTCAAGAAATCCAAATTTGAATGCGCTGCACAATTGTCGAGAAGTAATAACACTTTTCTCGACTGGCGTTGTAGCTCTGTGTCCCAATCCTTCACCCATTCTTTAAAAAGCGTAGTGTTCATCCATGCATTTCTGTTCGCACGATACACAACTGGTAAACTGTCCATTCTGAGTCCCTTAAAGCAGCGAGGCTTGGCACATTTTCCTATAACCAGCAACTTCCTCTTGTCTGTTCCGGACATGTTTGAGCAGCACAAGACAGTTACGCGATCCATTGCTTTTTCGCAGCCAGAGAGAGTAACATGTTTGTAACTTAAGGAGCCGTCCGGTGTAGCCCTATAGTACAACCCGGTTTCATCAGCATTATAGATGTCATCTGCTGGAAATTTTTCAAGAAGCTCTGGTAGTTTTGTTGATTTCCATTCTTCAGCTCGAGCGCTATTGGCACTTTCTCACCATGTACTTTCTTAAATTTTACATCATGCCTAGATTTCCATCGAGACAACCAGCCGTCCGTAGCTATAAAATCTTCCTGGCCCAGCATTTTAGCGAGTTCTTCTGCTTTGTACCTTGACATTGGGCCACTTACTCGCACGGCTCGTCCAGTAACAAAGGCAAACCAATCATTAAGGACCTCATCGACGTCTGGATCCTTGCCTTCATGCTTCCGTTTTTGGGAAGTACCTCGTCGTCCTTCACATTGTGTCCATTCTTCTCGCAGATATTTCTCTTGTTTTATCAGGCGCGATATTGTAGATTTTGCCAAGCAGGTAATTTCCGCCAATCGACGCTGACTAGTGGTTGGTCCCTGTTCCTTGATCTGATCTAGGAAACGAATCTTCTCAGCTAATGTCAAGTCCCGTCGTGGCATTTTCTCAACGTGCAACAAGACACGCACAGTTCACTGGGGTGAACTCGAGTCTGTCTCCCGGGTATTTCTGTGGTTGACCTAGCCACCTGCTGTCCTATGATTTGCCGGACCTGTGTGTCCGCGATCACTTGCCGTGCTCGAGAGTAGGCCCGCAATGCGGGCTCAGGGCATTCGGCTCAATGGACGTGCGGTACATCGATCGAGCGGTTAACGTCTGAACAAGCATGTATGTCTACGCTCCGCCTACAAATGTTGGAAACTACAGTCAGTTTCAAGCGGTTCTGAAGCCAATTTGATAGATGTGCCTCAAGGTTGCCACAGTTCAGTTTATCCAAAGGCCAACTCGGATTACCGTAACTGAATGATACGCTTTCTTGCCCGACATATGAACTGTGGGTTTAGTCCAGACATCCAGGCACAGAACTTGATTTTAACACCTCTGTTACCTGCCACCTTCTATCGTCTGGTCCGATTAAGCGGAATTCCGGTCCTAATAAGCGGCTAAAATTAGGCTAGCGTAATAGGATTCGTTTCGGTTCTTCAGAATTTGGCCCGAATAAGCGGCTGGTCCTATTAACCGGTGGTCCTATTAACCGGAATCGACTGTATATATATGAGCGGTTCCATCAGCAGTGCTTGCGACGGATTTTGCGCATCGGTTGGGGCGACAGAGTTGCAGACACGGAAGTGTTGCGACAAAGTGGAATGTATGCAGTGGACTGCATACATTTGCTGAGACACCTGAGGTGGATCGGTCATGTGAGCCGTATGGATTCGACGCGGATACCGAAACAAGTATTATATGGTCAGCTGAGTATAGGGAAGCGGCACGTGGAGAAACCAAATTTACGTTACCAGGACATGATCAAAGTGAGCCTCTCACGTTCTAATGTTGATTGCAGATCATGAGAATCGAAGGCGGTTGATCGGCGTGCATGGCGCGGTCTCATCACGAAGGCAGTTGCTGAGGTGCGGGAGAATGCCCTCATACATGCAGAAAAGAACCGGCAAGTGCGGAAGCGGCAAGCAGCAATGGGTTGTACTCCATCGACATCAAGCGCATGGTGCTGTAGCACATGCGGTCGAGAGTGCTTGAGTCAGGCAGGCTTATTGAGCCATGAGCGAGGCCACTCGGGACCAGTACCGAAGCGACGACGGGTTCTGCAGAGAACGTAGGCAGAACCGGCGCAGCGTTTGTAGGTACGTTGCATTCGATTTACTGACCGCGCGCATGCATGCTAAGTCTCTATATCAGGTGGTGGGTTTTCAATTTTGTCCTAATGCTTTTCTTTCTCAAATAAATGTCTACCTGTTCGCTCTTCTATAAGCCTGCACACCTCACTTAAGCCAGTTGTAGTTATTTTCAATAACATTTTCGTGTCATTTCCGTAAAATATACTTTCTGAACCCCTGCACTTATCTCGGATCCTTTGTTAACAACTTATTTCATATGCTCAGTAATTTAAGATTTTTACCACGTTTTCTTATGCATTACTCGATTTATTTTCTTTATTATCTTTCTCTCAAGTGATTGGCTGCTGCTTGATATCCCGGTGTGGCTGCGCCTGATGTGCATGTTGACAAGGTGCCTACCTGTCTATTATCCACTACCTCGTCCATACTGGCTCTAGGAGACAGTTGGTCGTTGCTGGAGGGGACGGGGTGCACGGTTCTTGTGGCCGTGTTAGGATCAAAGTGTGGTTCCATGCACTCAGTGTGGAGCGGACTACGGTCCAGCCA